ATCTCTTCTCAAAATGTATTTGCCACTGATTTTCCAGTCATGTTCCTTCCAACTCCTTGACTACTCAGACCAAACATTGTTTGTAGTCTATGAATCAATATATAATCACATATCACCATATTTTTCTCCCAAATGAAATGTACCATCAGGTTCACTGCCTGAAGTTCTGCCCACTATGAAGACTTCCCCTCAACACTGTACTTCATGGATGTTGTGGAAAGAAGCTATAGAGCTATAGCTGTTCGCTTTGGGTGCTAACTGCATAATGTGCAGAAACATCTGTATACCAGTTTCTAGTCTTCTCTTCCTCTGGCCACTGATATCAGTGTATACCCCATGAGGCCACAGGCGCATACTTGTGGGAAGGAAAGCAGTATAGAAGCAATAGGAACCATGGACATTTGGGGGCACTTCCTTATTTAACTTGTTTTTGGCATGATCACATATGTATCACTTCTATTTGATGATGGACTGTGGCCAAGCAGATATAACTTTATGACTTGGTGGATCAGATAGCACCCAGTTCATCATGGGCAGCTCAGGTCAAAAGGTAACCTGGTGTCCCATGGTCAGATAGTTTCTCCTAAGGCCCATTAGCAGGCCAGATCCTGTTTGTCAAAAGAAGAGTAGTTGTCTACAGATGATATTAGAGCCTTGCTCCAAAAATCTGAGGGCCTCTGCTGTAATACACCTATGAGAATCTACCAGAGATTCAAAACAATACCCCTATCTACCACTGACAGCTCAAGTACCATTGAATGTGTTGTATTTTATGTCCTAAATATCAGAATAATCTACACAGAAGCCTGGACCTATTGCAGAGCCTTCTCTTGTTCTTCAGTATACTCAAAACTACTACCTTTCTGAGTCACTTGGTAAAGGGCCAGAATAACAAACCCAAATGAGGAATGCTGCCTTCTAAGTCCAAATAGGCCCAGTGTGCATAGTGCCTCTTTCCTGGTTGAAGAATGGGCCAGATGCAACAATACTTCTCACCTTAGAAGGACTATCTCTGTATGCCCCACACCACTGGGATTTTAGAAATTGCACTGATGTAGAGGATCCTTGAATTGTAGCTTGATTTCTTTCCCATCCTCTCATATGTAAATGCTTTGCCAACCAATACAGAGTTGGTGTTAAACCTTGCCCACTTGGTCCAATCAGGATGATGTCATCAATATAATGAACCAGTATGACACCTTGTGGAAGGGAAAGATTACCAAGGTACTTGCCAACTCCATTGTGGCACAGAGTTCATATAGTCCTAAAGTAGGACAGTAAAGATGTATTGATGGCCTTTCCAGCCGAAAGCCAATTACTTTTGGTGGTTTTATGAATAGATATGGAGAAAAAGGCATTGCCAAATCATAGTTACATACCAGGTACCAGGAGTTATGTTAATCTGCTCAAGCAAGAAACCACATCTGGTATAGTAGCTGCAATTAGAGTCATCAGTTGATTAAGCTTACCCTAATCTACCCTCACTCTCCAGGATCTATCTATCTTCTAACACAGGCCAAATAGGAAAGTTAAATGGAGATGTGGTGGGAACCACCACCCCTGCATCTTCCAAATCCTTAATGGTAGCACTAATCTCTGTAATCCCTCTAGGGATATGATACTGTTCTTGATTTATAATTTTCCCAGGTAGAGGCAACTCTGATAGCTTCCACTTGGCCTTTCCCACCATAGTAGCTCTCATACTATGAGTCACCAATAGGGCAATTCTGCCATGTACTAATATATCTATTCCAATTACAGAACTAGAGAAATAACCACAGGTTGGATTTAAGAATCTACTGGATCCACTATGAGTCAGTCTTGGCTAAAACTTCACTGAACACCTGACCTTCATGGGCCCACACTTTCACTGGATGGCCATGATGATGCTCTTCTGTAATCAGTATTAGTTCAGAAACAGTGTCCAATCTTTCCCAAAATATCTCATCATTTCCTTTTCTTCAACATATGGTTATGCAGGTAAAAGGCCATAGGTTCCTTTGGGGAAGGATGGGAGAAAGATTGAAAGTATAACCTTTTGGTAGTGAATCATGGTCCTTCCTCAATGGGACCCAGCCTCCCCTTCATTTGAGAAGTTCTAGGTCTGTAAACTGGCTCAAGTCTGAGAATTGGTGGAGGGGCCATGATTCTTTTTTGCTTCAATTTCAAGTAGCTTTTTGTTCATTTGCCCTAAAATTTTTCTGCTTTTATAAATCCAGTGAAAATTTAATAAGTTTCTTATCTATCTCACTTCTGGGAAAAATATGATTAATTAGCCAACACAATAGGTCTGTACATATCAGACAGTTCTGATCATTGCTTTACTTCTGCTGTCCATTATGGTAAGTACACTCTGCTTTTGGCAGTTGATGGATGCCACTTGGCCCCTGACACTCTGCAATCCAATAATACCCATTGCATTTAATTATCTGAACTGAGTGACTACAGTTCCCACTCTGAGGTCTGGCATACACAGAAGAGCAACTCATAAAATGCTCCTTTCACAAATCTGGTTCTGTTTTTTCTTGTTTTGTTTTGGTTTTGTACGGTGTTGGGGTTTTTTTTACAGGGGGCTTTGTTTGTTTGTTTGAGACAGTGTCTCTCTATATAGTTCAGGCTGGCCTTGAATTCACTATGTAGCCCGGGCTGATCTTGAATTCATGGCAATCCTCCTGCCTCATCCTCCTGAGTGCTGGGTTATAGGCATGTGCCACCATACCCAGCCTCAAATCTGTTTCTTAAGGTATTAGTGAAGGGTATATTTTCTGGATCCTGCCAGTGTGGAGTAGGTTTCACCTGGCAAATCCATACCAGCATTCTCAACACCCTTATCAATAGTAACCCAAGAACTATCAGGCACATCTAGTTCACTCACAATGGGCCATGTTTTGATCCATATTTCACCCAGCCAAGTAAACTTCTAATACCTTTTTAAACTCCACGAGCCGCAACATTAAATCTATCTCCTTTTAATGGGCTCATAACCTGAAATTCAGCCTGATGAGGTTTGTTTCTTCCACCATTATCCCACACTGTTTAAATCCATTCCCACACCTGTTCCCCAGATTCTAAGAATCAGAAAACTCAAGTCCTTTGACAGTGTAGCATACTTCTTCATACTTCATATTGTATACCTCACCTTTAGGGGTCTTTTGAGATTTGAGGCTAGATATAGGCCTGGAATCAAAAGTATGTGATGAAGGTGGGTCCTGATGAGCGTCAAAGTTGTCTTACTTGGTAATTGCAACAGGGAAGGTCACTACTGTTTCTATAAGCAGAACAGCACTTGTTTCCTCAGGTATAAGTGGAGAGGCCAACAAACAAGTTATAAGGAGAGGCCACACAAAAGTTATAAGGTTGCATACACTTCTGCCACTGAAGCTGGAGAAATCTCTTTCTCTGGCAAAATAATCTCATCTGAATTGAGCAGTTCAATGTCCCCAGCCTCCCCAGGTTCCCTCCAGACATTTCCATCCCAATTTATACGATCCCATTCTTTTCCAAGCAGTACCCTCACTTTCACTGCAGATACCCTTCACGGCTGAGTTAAACTTTCAGTGTAATTCAGCCAGCTGCATTATGAGGGCTTGTCATTGGTCTTCAGCAACTTCATTCCTATGGATAAAGAACAGAAGATTCTTCTTAAGGACACACTTAGATGCCTTTAAATTGTTCCTTCCTGTCTGGAGCTCACTGTTTTCTTTGTAGTTTTTCCAGAGCTGCTGAGTGCAATCAGCTGGCATTATACTTCTTACTTTTCCAAAGATGTCAAAAGTATCACTAAATTCCTTGTGCTTCACAAGTGGCAATTTAGGAAGTCAAATGGATCTAGGTAGTGTATTTGAATAGTTCACAACACAAACTATCCGTGCTCTGTATATACCAGAAGAGACCATGGCAACTTTAGGCCTCATCAAATTAGAGAGAACTGCTATGCCGATTAGAAAAATCCATCCTTATAATTCTGATTCTCTAGGACCACTCCTGGTACCAAAATCTGTATCAGTTAGAGTTCTCTAGAGACTCAGGATCAATGAGAAATATATGTATAATTATTCAAGGGGATTAATTAGGTAGGCTTATAGGATTTGAGGTAGGAGAGTCCACAGTAGCTGTGGACTCTCTGTTCCATCAAAGGCAGGAGAGTCCACAGTGGCCATCCACACACTGGAGAGCTAGATGACCCAGTATGTGATGGTGAACCTCTTAGAGCTTTCAATAAGAAACAGCTAGCTGTGGCATGTGTGCCATATGTTCGCCATCCCTGACCTAAAAGATAAAGTCCAAAAAGATACAAGCTGCAGAGTAAGGATGATCAAAGATGTGACACTAGTCTCAGGTCAAAGCTTTAGAAGATCACTGTACAATTGTCTGTGCAAGTATACATTAGAAGACTAAAGAAACTGGAGACCAATGTCCCAAGGCAATCGCAATAATTAGAGCTCTTCCAAAATGTGGACACTTCCTTCTTTTCCCTTTCATCTCACCAGGCAGCCATAAGCCTATTGGGATGAGTCTTTCCCTCTTGGGTTGGCTGGCCTACATGTCAGTCATCCATAGACACACACGGAGTGTGCTTCACTAATCTGTTAGGCTTTTCTTAATCCGTTCAAGTTGATATACCATAATTAACAGTTACATCCTGGATGACACTCCTGGTCTCCAATTCTCCATACTCCTGTCAGCCTACTTCTTTTTGCAGCCCAAAACCCCAACTAAGCTATCTATTTTGGTAGCCTCTTCCAATTGCCTCTCCCACCTCCAGGTCCCTATCATTTGTCCCGCTCTCAGAAACACACCCTTCTCCAGAGCCAAAGGATCAAGTATTCAGTGGCTCAGGTGACAAAGCTGCTGTCAGGTTACAGATATTGTTTCCTGAAAGACCACACTATAGTGTCAGTGGAGCCTCAAGCTGCCTGCAGTGCCCTGCCTTCACCTGGCTGTCGCATAGGAGGGGAGAATAACTAGAATTTACCTCTAGTACCACCTGCGCTGGAAACATGGCTCTGAGCCTCTGGCCCCTTCTGCTATTGCTGCTGTCCTGTACAGGTGAGAGGAACAATGAGCAGAGCTGGGGTTGAAGGGGAGGGTTGCCGGAAACGACATGTAAACATGTGGAGGTTAAACAATTAGATAAAAGCTAAAGGGACAGGAAGAGAGGCAGAGACTAATGCTATGGGTGACAGTGAAGATTAGGAAAGCAGGCCATGACTTGCTGCAGGCCAATGAAAAGGGCTTGCCCCCCACCCCCCTAGATCCAGGCAGGGAATTGTGTTCAGGAGTAAGCCTATCTTTGGGCTTTAGGTTCTTCCCCTGCAGTGATCTCTGGGTTTCTCTCCTTACAGTGACTCTGGCCCCTACGGGGCATCAGTCCCTGGACCCTGATCTCTCCCTCTTGAAGTCATTCCTCTCCACTATGGACCAGGCTTCCCAGGGTGCCTTCAGCCGCTCACAGTTCTCTGCATTCCTGGCCAACATTTCTTCTTTTGAGCCTGGGAGAATGGGGGATGGGCCCGTGGGAGAGCCCCCACCTCTCCAGCCCCCTGCCCTTCGTCTCCATGATTTCTTAGTGACACTAAGAGGTAGTCCAGACTGGGAGCCAATACTAGGGCTACTGGGGGATGTGCTGGCACTGCTGGGGCAGGAGCAGACTCCCCGGGACTTCCTGGTACACCAGGCAGGTGTTCTGGGAGGACTTGTGGAGGTGTTGCTGGGAGCTTTAGTTCCTGGGGGGCCCCCTGCCCCTACAAGGCCCCCATGTACCCGCGATGGGCCTTCTGACTGCGTGCTGGCTGCTGACTGGTTGCCGTCTCTGCTGCTGCTGTTAGAGGGCACCCGCTGGCAGGCCCTGGTGCAGCTGCAGCCCAGTGTGGACCCCACCAATGCCACAAGTTTCGAGGGGCAGGAGCCAGCTCCTCACCTTTTGCAGGGTCTGCTGGGCTTGCTTACCCCACCAGGGGAGCTGGGCTCTGAGGATGCTCTTTGGGGTGGTCTGCTACGCACAGTGGGGGTCCCCCTCTATACTGCCTTCCAGGAGGGGCTGCTCCGTGTCACACACTCCCTGCAAGATGAGGTCTTTTCCATTATGGGCAAGCCAGAGCCTGATGCCCATGGGCAGTGCCATGGTGGTGAGTGATGCTGGACTGGGGCTGGGAGGTGGCAGGGCAGGAAGGATGATATGGGGGTAGGCCTCTGCTTTGCTCTCTCCCTCCTAGGTGACCTGCAGCAGCTGCTCTTATGGTAAGTAGCAGAGAGCAGTTCTGAGAGTGCGGGCCTGGGAAACCTGGAGGTGGGGAGCTGAAGGCATTAGCCTTAGAGCTGAGGAGAAAACTGATTAGAGGAGTGTGGTTTAGGGATTTGGGAGTGTGACTGTTTGAGTTGGTTTTCTGGCTCCTCCTCTTCCTAGCCTTAGAAATGCTTCATATTCTATGTCCCACTGTCCCTATATGTGAAATAAAGATGGTAATATTAACTACTGTAGAGTTGTAAGGGATTAAATGAGTTGATACTCTACGAGTAAACTCCTTAGAACAGTGCCTGCCACAGAGTACTCAATAAATGTTAGCCAACAAAAGATGGGGTGTGGAAAAGAACAGTAACATTGGATTCCTCTACCCTCTTACTAATGCAGTACAACAACGCCAGAGCACAGACATATTCAATTGCCAGGCAGATTTTCTGATAGGAGGCCAAACAAGGGTTGTGTTTAAGTTATCCAAAACCAGCTGGGGAAAAAAGAGAGTGAAATGAGCAGCCAGGTGGAAGACTAGGGCAGCCAAGACTCCAACTGTGGTTGCCCCTAGCAGTTCTGAGCCTTCGCAGCACAGATCTCTCTCCTCTGTATCCCATCTCAGCATTTATACCAGTAGCACCTACGCTCCCAGGAGCCTCACCTAGAGCAGCCTGCGCTTGCCACCTGCCCTGCAGGGCTCTTAGCCAGGGTCAGACTCTCCAGCTGGAGGAAGCGTGAACTGACCAAATCCTGCCTGTTCCTCCCTCTGTACCCAGGGGCATCCGGCACAATCTTTCCTGGGATGTACAGGCACTGGGGTTTCTGTCTGGATCGCCACCCCCACCTCCTGCCCTCCTCCACTGCCTGAGCACTGGTGTGCGTCTTCCCAGGACTTCCCAGCCCTCAGCCCACACCAGGCCTCGCCAACGGCGAGCCATCTCTGTGGAGGCCCTCTGCGAGAACCACACAGGCCCAGCACCACCCTACAGCATCTCTAACTTCTCCATCCACTTGATCTGCCAGCATGCCAGGCCTACCACCCCGCAGCCCCCTCCTAGCACTGCTGCTGTCTGCCTGACCGCTGTGTGGTACACAGTCTCCTGGGCACCAGGTGCCCAGCGCTGGCTGCAGGCTTGCCATGACCAGTTTCCTGATCAGTTTCTGGATGCAATCTGTAGCAACCTCTCCTTCTCAACCCTGTCTGGCCCCAACCGCCGCCTGGTAAAGCGGCTCTGTGCTGGCCTTCTCCCACCCCCTACCAGCTGCCCCGATGGTCTGGCCCCTGTGCCCCTCACACCAGAGACCTTCTGGGGATGCTTCTTGGAGAACGAGACTCTGTGGGCCGAGCGGCTGTGTGTAGAGGCGAGTCTGCAGGCTGTGCCCCCCAGCAACCAGGCATGGGTTCAGCATGTGTGCCAGGGCCCCACCCCAGATGCCACTGCCTTCCCACCCTGCCACATTGGACCCTGTGGGGAACGCTGCCCAGATGGGGGCAGCTTCCTGCTAATGGTCTGTGCCAATGACACCATGTATGAGGCCCTGGTGCCCTTCTGGCCTTGGCTAGCAGGCCAGTGCAGGATAAGTCGTGGGGGCAATGACACTTGCTTTCTAGAAGGGCTTCTGGCCCCCCTTCTGCCTTCTTTGCCACCTCTTGGGCCATCTCCACTCTGCCTGGCCCCTGCCCCGTTCCTGCTGGGTATGTTGTCTCAGCTGCCACGCTGCCAGTCCTCAGTGCCAGCCCTTGCCCACTCCACACGCCTGCACTATCTACTGCGCCTGCTGACCTTCCTTCTGGGCCCAGGGGCTGGAGGGGCTGAAGCCCAGGGGATGCTGGGTCAGGCCCTGCTGCTCTCCAGTCTCCCAGACAACTGCTCCTTCTGGGATGCCTTCCGCCCAGAGGGCCGGCGCAGTGTGCTGCGGACAGTCGGGGAGTTCCTGGAGCAAGAAGATCCTACCCCAGCAGGCTTTGAACCGATGGACAGCCTCAGCTCTGGTAGGAGCAAGATGGAGCTCCTGTCCTGCTTCAGTGTGAGTGATCTGCCTGGGCAAAAGCCCCTGGAAAGGGGAGGGGCTTGCAGAGGAATTCCTTGAGCAGCGAGAGGCAGAAGTATGGTATTTACAGTGATGTAAACACATAGCTCTAGGGTGTACAAATTTGGGTTCACATTTCAATTCTATAATCAGTCTTGTACAAGTTATTTAGTCTCTGTGGGTAGTATTTGCTTTCCTTATTAGCTATAAACTGGGGATAATAGTACCAATTTTTAAAAGTGGTTGTAAGAATTACATGAGATAATATATACTGTAGGCTTAATGCAGGGTATAATACATAAACATGAAATAAATGATCTTATTCTTTTGTACTCTTAGATTCTCCCCCTTTCTGCTCCAGAAAGGAAGGGGATCAAGTTAGAGGGCTCAGATTCTCTCTCTAGCAAGTGAGAACTGGGGCTGGCAGAGTATCAGAGGTAAGGTAGAAACAAGAAAAAGATTCAGGGGGGACTACAAATCAGAAGATTTTGGTTAAGTTCAACTATGCCATAAATTAGAGTGCATTTAGGTAAGTAGTTTTTCTGGACTTCATTTTCTTCTATGTAGAGTGAAGGAGTTTAAGTACCATAATTGGTTCACTAAGTGTCAAAGCACTTGCTAGTTTTTATTGGGTACATATATATTTCTTACCCCATGTTAGGGCCCACTTTTTGTAGCCCTGGGTTCACTGAAACGGAATGAGACAGACCTGCAGTAATTTGGTTCAGGTCTGCAAGTATTTGTTGAGCCAGCTGTGGACCTGGCATGGGAGAGGATTCAGGAATAGGTAGAGACATGGTTCCTGTCCCTAAGGGGGCTTCATATCCGAGGAGACACACATACTAGCTTCACTGAAGGGTGCATTCCCATGAGTTGAGTTGCAGTGCTGGGGAAGCTGCAGGAAGACGGAGGAAAACAGCTCTCTTGGCATCTTGTCTTTCTCCCCCAACCAGCCTGTGTTGTGGGATCTACTCCAGAGGGAGAAGAGTGTTTGGGCCCTGCAGATTCTTGTACAGGTAACACGAAGGGGCACACAGATGGGCTGGGTGACAGTCATGGCCTGAAGTCTCTGCCCAGTGAGGCCACGCCCACCACGACCTCCTGTTCCCAGGCGTATCTGCACATGCCCCCAGAAAACCTGCAGCAGCTGGTGCTTTCAGCAGAGATGGAAGCTGCTCAGGGCTTCCTGACACTCATGCATCGTTCCTGGGCCCAGCTGCAGGTGGGCGTAGAGGGTGAGAGAAGCAAGGGGGGAGGGGAATCTAGGGATCAAGGGCATCTGGAACCAAGTGTGCACAGGGCTTGTCTTAGTGGGAAGAGCAACTCCGGGGAGGAGGTGGCAAGGACACTGAGTGTCTCCAGAGCTGACAACCATTCCTGTGCCCACCCAGGTACCACCGTCTGAGGAGCAGGCCATGGGTCGCTTAACGGCCCTGCTCCTCCAGCGGTACCCACGCCTCACCTCCCAGCTTTTTATTGATCTGTCACCACTCATCCCCTTCTTGGCTGTCTCTGACCTGATGCGCTTCCCACCATCCCTGCTGGCCAATGACAGTGTGTAAGCACCACTCCTCTGGGTCCTGTCAGGGTCAGGACAGACATCCCCCTTCAGTAGCCCCTTCCAGAGTGCCCCTCTATTAAACCAGGAAGAGTCTCTTTTCTGGCCATGACAGCAGGCTCCAGAGAGTCAGGGAATAACAGCTGGAACAAGGCAAAGCTTTAAGACCCATTACTCCCTCCAGCCTGGCTGCCATCCGAGATCACAGCTCAGGAATGAAGCCTGAACAGAAGGAGGCCCTGGCAAAGCGATTGTTGGCCCCTGAGCTATTTGGGGAAGTTCCTGCCTGGCCCCAGGAGCTGCTGTGGGCAGCGCTTCCGCTGCTCCCCCACCTCCCCCTGGAGAACTTCCTGCAGCTCAGCCCTCACCAGGTATGAGAATCATCCTCACTTGTCTGCTAGGAGCATGACTCCCAGCAGGCCCCTCCCTACAAGTATCCCACAGATCCAACACAAGGTGACCCTCCCCACCTCAGATCCAGGCCCTGGAGGATAGCTGGCCTGCGGCAGGTCTTGGGCCAGGGCATGCCCGGCATGTACTGCGTAGCCTGGTAAACCAGAGTGTCGAGGATGGTGAGGAGCAGGTCCGCAGGTGAGTGGTTGTGGAGTCAGTGATCAAAGCCAGAGCGTGAAAGATAAGAGACATAGGTATGGCTACTATGGTGGATTGGTCTCCTAATAAGGAAGGGACAGGAAGTAGGTAATGGCCCCAGGCAGTGTCGACTTAAGGAGCAATGCCTATATGTAGCACCTCCATATTGTTTAGGTATCAGAATGCCTACTCCAAGTACCCAGAGTCCCTGACTTAACACTAGCCTCAGTGAGCATGTGAAGGCCAGCCTCATGCCTTCCTCAGGCTTGGGTCCCTTGCCTGTTTCCTGAGCCCTGAGGAGCTACAAAGCCTGGTGCCCTTGAGTGATCCAATGGGGCCAGTAGAACGGGGGCTGTTGGAATGTGCGGCCAACGGGACCCTCAGCCCAGAAGGACGGGTAAGCTCCTTGGCCCAGGCCTCCAAGACTTCAGGGTTACCCTGGGACTGTGTTAAGGACTCAGTTGTGTCAACCAGGTTTAAGCACAGTGATGCCAGCCCTGGACCCACCTCTGCCACCTCCATTCCTTACTCTATGGTCATTCTTACCTGTTACCGCTCCTTCCTGGCCCTATCCTATCTGGTGTATTGCACCCCAATACACCTTGTGCCATCCTGACCCAATGTCCTGTTTCCATCCCTGGTTCCAAACCCTCACCCAGGCTCTGGAGAATCCAGTTGTGGGATGAGAGAGAAGGTCCAAGGTTCAGCTGTCTTTCTTTTTCCCCAGTCTCAAACCTTCTTTGGTTATAGGTGGCGTATGAACTCTTGGGGGTACTGCGCTCATCTGGAGGAGCTGTGCTAAGCCCCCCAGAGCTGCGGGTCTGGGCTCCTCTCTTCCCCCAGCTGGGTCTTCGCTTCCTACAAGAGCTATCAGAGCCCCAGCTTCGAGCTATGCTTCCTGCACTTCAGGGAACCAGTGTCACACCTGCCCAGGTGAGCCTGTCTTACTCCCTGGCATCCACTTCTGGAGCCCCAATCAAGACAGTCACGTTTAGGGATACCATCAGCCCTGCTTCTGCTGGGTGAGCACAAGAGGTGAACCCTGTCTTGCTGAGGTTTTCCTTGTTCCCCTTCCTCAGACCAAGTAGGACCCTGAGTAAGCTGGTCACTGGGGGTGTTGGTGAGGGAGCTGGATATTTTGGAAGGTGGGTCCTAGGGACTGGTTTGGGATTTGGCTACTGGGACCTGAGAGCTGTTGTTTCCTTTCCCATCCCACCCAGGCTGCCCTGCTGCTTGGCCGGCTCCTTCCTAGGCATGATGTGAGTAGCAGCAACTTTCAAGAACTTTCAGCAAGGTTCTTGCATCTGCCTTCTCCTCCCCTCAGTTCCCCTCATACTTTTTTCTGTTGCACTGTGACTGTTGCCTTCCCCACCATCCAGCCCCTCTTCTTCAAGCCTCTTGTCTCTCCTGCCCCTCAGCTGTCCTTGGAGGAACTCTGTTCCTTGCACCCTCTACTGCCCGGCCTCAGCCCCCAGACACTGCAGGCCATCCCTCGGCGAGTTCTGGTCGGGGCCTGCTCCTGCCTCGTTCCTGAACTGTCGCGTCTCTCAGCCTGCCAGACTGCAGCGCTGCTTCAGACCTTTCGGGTATGAGAGGAATAAGAAGGGTGAGACTGTTGGGGATATGGGCACTGGGTGGGAGGACAGCATCTTCCTTGTGGTCAGGGGAGGCCTCCCCATTGCCTTCCCCCTTACCCACACCCAAACACAAATACACATCGCTGATTCTCATGCAGGTGAAAGATGGTGTTAAAAGTACGAGTACAACAGGCGTCAGTGCAGCTGTGTGTGTCCCCGGTCAGGTAATGTGTGCAATCTCCCAACCGAGCTCCTCTCCACCTTCTGGGACAGGTTCATCTGGCTAGTGTTGCCTCACAAAACCCCCTTCAGTGGTCTGAAAGTTCAGGTTAGCCCTGTGTGCACCTAGATGCTAGAAGCTCCCTTCAGTTTCAGGTGCAGGACAGCATGACCTACACTGTCTTACAATGTCAAAGCCAGAAGGGCCTCAGAAATCTCCCCTGTCATGTGAAGAGACCAAGGCTCAGAGAAGCTAAGAGATACGAGTCCATCAGGTGACTAAGTAGAAGCAACTTGACCATGGTGGCCTTCAGTGTGAGGGAACTTAGGTGTCCATTGCTCCAGTAGCAAATACCAGTCCACCCTAACCTAGTTTTGGTCCTTTTCTGCTTCCATGGTTCCCCTTCTCCGAGGGCTGAGTGCAGAACCTCTCACTTGTCACTATACTGTTATACCTGTCACTGCCAGCAGCCCATGCGCACCATTTGGCCAGACTGCCTGCTTCCCCTGCTCCCATTAAAACTGCTGCAACTGGACACTGCAGCTCTTCTAGCAAACCGGAGGCGCTACCGGGAGCTGCCCTGGTCTGAACAGCAGGTAACTGTCTTACTTCCTCCCTCAGAGCTCCCCGCTCAACCCCTTCTACCTCCTTTGCCCATCTCTTGCCCAATTTTGTGCATCCTCCCTAGAAGTCCTCAAGATGTCTCTTTCCCTCTCAATCTCTCAGAGCTAATCAGGAAAGTGACATCTGATGGGACCCAGAGTAGAGAGGCAGGACTTAGGTCTGGGGGTAATATCTCTGCTGGGAAGAAGCTCTTCTTTCTTTCTATTATAGGCACAGTTTCTCTGGAAGAAGATGCAGGTGCCCACCAACCTGACTCTCAGGAATCTGCAGTGAGTAACTTGTGTTGAACAGTCAATTTAATTGATTTTTTTTTTTTTTTTTTTGGTGGTGGTGCTGGGTATTGAACTCAGGGCCTCACAAATGCAAAGCAAAGGATCTACTCCTGAGCTATATCTTTAGCGCAGCTAACATTTTTTGAGTATTTACCATATGCTAGGTACCATAGGGGATACAGGGATGATGCCTAGTCTCAGCCTCATCATGATTGCCCTGCCTCCATTTCCCCCTGCCTTCCCTGCCTTTCCACAGTGCCAGGCCTACACTGACTCAGAAGATCTATGTTCCGGTCCCTATCTTGTCACACACTTGTGCTCTTGGGCAAGTCATTTAACCTAAGCTTCAGCTTTCTTTTCCATACAATGAGACTAGGGCACTTAGCTCATAGGTAGTTATTGAAGATTCAGTGTGATAAGATATGTAAGATATTCAATGTAAACTGGGTCCGATGACACATACCTATAATCTCAGCTACTCGGGAGGCTGATATAGGAGAATTACAACTTTGAGGAGAACACAGGCAACTTTGTAAGACCATATCTCAAAATAAAAGGTAAAATAGAGATGGGATGTACCTCATTAGTAGAGCATCTGCTAACCATTCTTGTCCTGGGTTTAATTCCCAGTACACAAACACACACACACACACACACACACACACACACACACGCAAATCCCAGATATTTAACATAGTGTTTTCCCAGTATAAACTCTGTGTGGATATTTGCTATTATTAGTTTAATTCAAGAGGACTGAGCCATTGGTTAAGCAAGAATAAAAATAAGCATTACCTTACCTGTACCTATCGTAAATGAACCAGAGGCTTCAGGATCTGAAGACATGGCTCTAGGCTCAGTTCACCACACTTCTAGTAGGTTGAAATTGGAATGTCACCTGACCTGTGTGAATCTCTATTTTCTTCTCTGATAAACAGTAATAATGTTTGGGAAGCCAATGAGACTGTCTATGCAGAAACAGCCCTCAAAATGTAACTGACCATAAATGAGCATCTGTCCTTGTGCTGGGCATGCTGATATCAGGGAGCAGGCAGGCTGCAATCTTCTACCCACTCACACCCACAGGGCTCTAGGCAACCTGGCAGCGGGCATGTCCTGTGAGTTTGTGCAGCAGATCAGCTCAACGGCAGACTTCCTGGAAGTGGTACACATGCTTTACCAACTGCCCACTGGGGTCCGAGGGAGCCTGGTGAGAGGGGATACTTGGGTATGAGTGGGAGCAGGAAGGCTAGGACCCTGGGTGCAGCACCCTACTCATCTGCTCAGCTGCTCAGCTCTGTCCTAACCCTGCTTTCCCGCCCTGTCCTACAGAGGGCCTGTATCTGGGCAGAACTATGGCGGAGGATGACAATGCCAGAACCAGAACTGACCACCCTGGGGCCAGAACTGAGCGGGCTTGACACCAAACTACTCCTGGATTTACCGTAAATGCTATACCTGGAGATACTGGATCCCCATTAAGCTCAACTTAGAGTAGATGTGCCCTTAGGAAATAGCCTTGCTGAGGCAGTTCTCTGAATGGTGGTTTGTGCACATTGTTTACAGCCAAAAGCAGGGGCTTCTATTCAAATGACCCCACATTGGGACAGCAGAGGGTGGTGACACTGCTGTGGCCTACCAAGTAATCTTAATATAACCTGGGCCACGTTAATAGAGATATAGTATGAGATAAGGGAGGTAGTGGTCCAGCTCCTCTGTAGAGGACTATAGTTTACTTACAGTGTTGTGTTCTCTGTGTGTTCAGAGGAGTGGATGAAGAGAAAATGATGAAAAATGTGATAAATGGATTTAAATCTCCAAGGGTCTATCAAATAGACAGGTTCCATGGGGCAAGACTAGGATTGAGTTAAAATCAAATTTTTGTACAATATAAGAAAAATGGAAATAGTGAGTCCCTAATCACTGGAGCTATCCAAGCCTAAGGGAGATGTACCCACTGCAGCATTGTTGTAGAGCAGATTCAAGTATGGGCTGGGGAGAGAGAACATTTAAGGCTTCTTTATCCCAGAGAGTCTAGGAGTTTATGAGCGTTTCACTCATGTGCCTCTTTTCTCACTTTAACCCCACCCACCCCACCCCATTCCATTTGAGCTGTAGTCAGAGTAGGACAAGGCTGGGGTTTGGCCTACATGAAGAGAAAGATACTGGACCATGAGTCACACAGAAAGAGGGCTAAGAAAAATTGTAATGGTACTTAGTATCTGGGGCTTTTGAGTCCCTTACACCAGATAGGATTGTTTATTTCTTTTCTAGAAACACTAAAAATATACCACTCTCTTTGTTTTCTCCCTTCAAGCAAGTGGTGATAAGTAGCTTAGGGCTGTTTAATATCAGTTCCAGTCCAGGTTCACAGTGCGTGGTCTTGTGTTATACCTTATCTGGGGAATGTGAGGTTCAAAGGTCCCTTCTCAACTTGGCTGAGTTGTGACTGAGTGCCCCTGCTGTCCAATTATGTAACAGGATCCCGTTGATGGACAGACTGTCCAATGAATCCATTATGTTGGTGGTGGAGCTGGTACAAGGAGCTCCTGAGCAGCTGCTGGCACTGACCCCACCCCACCAGGCAGCCCTGGCAGAGCGGGCACTACAGAACCTAGTAAGAGTCCACCCTCCCAGACCCACATCTGTTGCCCTTGGCAGTGCATGCCACTCAAACAGTGATCTCTGCCTGTCTTCCAGGCCCAACCCCCTTATTGTTGCCAAAGAGGTTCCTATCTATGAGGGTCTCTAGCTTCTAGATCTGCCTCTGGATTCTGTTCCTTAATAACCTGCTTTATGATTCTTATCCATCCCATTGGGACCTGAGAAATCCAATGGATTCCACCTCTCAGTCTTTCTACGTTGCTCGTATCTGAGTTCATTCACTGTTTAAAAGGTGAAGAGGTAACGAGCATCCTAGGTTGTTAAATTGTGGGCAGGAGAGAAGGAAGGTCAAGGGACTTGGTATCTTGATTAAAGAGCCGAGTACTCTGAGTCAGAGGTGCACTGCTCACGACCTGATGCCCCTCTCCAGCTTCCAAAGGAGACCCCTCTCTCAGAGGAAGTGCTGGAGACGCTGGGCCCCTTGGTCGGATTCCTGGGTATAGACAGCGTACGACGGATCCCTCTACCAATCCTGCTGTCCCATCTCATCCAGCTGCAGGGCTTCTGCCTACAAGAGACATTTGCCACAGAGCTGGGACAGCTGCTGTTGCAGGATCCTGCTCTTGGGTATGGACCTTTGGAAACTTCAGATGCTAACTTTTCCTGTACCCAGCCCCTCAACTACAGTCATCAGTGGCAGCTCCTTCCATATGCTTAATGACCCTTGAAGCCTGAATCCCCACTCATGCTATGTCCTCTTCTCCTCAAGGTTCCCTCAGCTCCCAGCATATGATCATCTTCCTATCCTTTAGGAAACCAGAATTGTGGAGCCAGGATGAAGTAGAACAAGCAGGACGTCTAGTATTTACTCTGCCTACTGAGGCAATTTCCTTGATTCCCAGGGTAAGGTGAAGGCACATGGAGGGAATAAATGCACAGGGGGATGAATGAACTGGTTATAGCAATGTCAGGCCAAGGAGGCAAAGGAAGCACAACCTGGATCTGGGGAAGACTGCTAAATACAGGCAGGACTTGGAATTACAGATGCAGCAGCTGGCCCTGACCCTGTCCAGACCTCTCCTTCTCCTTCTACTTTCTTATGCAGGAGGCTTTGGGCCCAGAGACCCTGGAACGGCTTCTAGAAAAGCAGCAGAGCTGGGAGCAGAGCAGAGTGGGACAGCTATGTGGGAGACCACAGCTTGCTCCCAAGAAAGCAGCCCTGGTAGCTGGGGTTGTACGGCCGGCTGCTGAGAATCTTCCAGGTGAGGCTACCTAAATACTCATATATCCAGCAGAGCATACAGGAGAGAGTAGCAAACAATGCTGTCAGAAATCTGGGCTCTAGACCGGGGTGTAGCTTTGTGCCCAAGTGCTTATCTAGCATGCATGAGGCCCCTGGTTTGAACTCAAGCACTAGAGGTGGTGGAAAGCCTAGGCTCTGTAAGTATTGTGTGCCCTTTGACCAAATTTACAAACCTTCTACTCTCTGGGCTTTTGAGATGATTGTCAAGGTATCCTGTCCATCTTGGTATCTTAATACCAAGGTAGCTTCATTAGGTTTTTAGCCCAGGACTCCATTTTTCTGTTCTCTTATCAACAGACTCAGTTCTATTTTGGCTAAGCACGAAGCTTTCTGCTGGGGAGATGTTAAAAGGAAAGAGACACTACAAGGCTACAGACCTGGGCTCTGTCTCAGCTCTGCCATAAAATCAAGGGCAACCTCCTCTTCAAGTCTCCCACCTATGAAGTTAGGGCCTTTAGCTCTCCAATTGATTCTTGTTCTAATACCCTCTAAACCAGTGATGCAAGCTTTTTAGAGACTGAGTGCCCAAACTGCGATTCAAGACCCATTTATTTATCACAAAGTGTGAGAACTGCAATTAAACCTGAACACTGAGGTTTTAGGTTAGAAAAAAATAACTCATACATAACCATCTTTCATCTTAAAAGGAAAACAAACAATATGTGTGCCATAGGTTCGCCACACTGCCCTAAACCCTATAAATTTCACCCTGTAACCATCCCTGCTTACACTGCCCTATCTTCCAAGGGTTGGGAGGGTCATTCCATCTATCTCTAGGCATATTTTAATACTACACTGACCCCCTGCACCTGCCTTCCCCCTTCAGAGCCTGTACCAACCTGTGCAGACATCCGAGGGACCTTCCCAGCAGCCTGGTCTGCAGCACAGATTACAGAGATGGAGCTCTCAGACTTTGAGGACTGCCTGGCACTGTTTGCAGCAGATCCAGGGCTTGGGCCTGAGGAACTACAGGCAGCCATGGGCAAGGCAAAGAAGGTCAGGGGTGGAGAGGCCACTAGCAGTTAGAGGGGAAAACACAAGGTAGTTGGTTAGGCGTGATGGGGAACACAAGGGAATGGGGAGTTGGGTGAGAGCTGTGGAAACAGGAGATAAAAATAGGGGTTGGATCTCAAGTAGGTCAGAGGGGATCAATATTGAGGAAATGGAGCTGGCACATAAATAGAGGGACTAGAGAAGCGGTTATCAACTTTTAGTGTCAAAATCATCTAGGGAGAGGTTTTTAAAGTACTATTGCTAGGGTACGATGCCAGTCTAAGAATCTTGGTTTGGGGCCTCAGCATCTGTGTTTTAACAAGCATATTAGTGAGTGTGTTGCACATAAACGTCTGGAATTTATGCAGTAGAGTTTGCTTTTGTTTCTGATACTCCAGGGTCTTTCAATAACCCCTTAGTCATAGGAACTATTGTCTAATGCGTAAATTTTACAGTGGAGGAAAACTAAAGAAAAGGCAAGTGATTTTCCCAGAAGTCCACCGCTAAGGTCAAAAGCAAGATTAAGACCCAGCATTCTGACTCCTAGTCCAGTGCTCTTCCCATTCACACTGTTCCTCTCTTCCTCCCAGTTATGGGGTCCCCCTCGAGGATTCCGTCCTGAGCAGATTCTGCAGCTGGGCCGGCTCTTGATAGGTCTAGGAGAGCGAGAGCTCCAGGAGCTGACCCTGGTGGACTGGGGAGTGCTGAGCACCCTGGGCCAGATAGAGGGCTGGAGCTCTGTCCAGGTAACATTTCCTCTCCTCCCTCGGCGCTTGCTGAACTGCCCTCTCACAGACCCAGACCTGTGGTTTATCCGAGGCCCAAGGAATTCTTTCTATTTTAATAACCCACACAGTGACCTTCAAGGCTCTGTGGTTTATTCACTCCGATACCTTGAATAAAAATTATTCTTTCCTGCCTCTGCTTTTCTGAGGACTTATCTTTTTCTCTCCTTTCACATTTTTGGGAAAGGGATGTTGTGTGGGGGGGTGTCTTTGACCTTCTCTATGGCTATGATACCTTCTGATCCTAATAATAAAAGAATATAATTCAGTGCCACCCATCACTCCCCTACTTACTTCCCGTTCCAATAATTCCTGTGACTTTTCTCCTTATCCTGTGCCTCATCCCCACTCCACTGCAGCTCCGGGTCGTGGTCTCCAGTTTCCTACGCCAGAGCGGTCGGCACGTCAGTCACCTGGACTTCATTCACCTGACAGCACTGGGCTACACACTCTGTGGACTGCGGCCGGAGGAGCTACAGCATATCAGCAGTTGGGAGTTTAGGTCACCTGTGAGGGGCTTGTGGGTGGAGGTGCTAAAGGAGGGCTCACTGGGGAGGGTGGGATCCTGAAGGAGTCATCCCATGGAAGAAGGAAGTGCATCTGAAGCCGTCTCTTACCCTGTCTCATAGACACAACCTCAATCCCCAAAGCTCAGTTCTTCTCCCTTCCTTCCCATTCTTCCGCAGCCAAGCAGCTCTCTTCCTGGGCCATCTGCATCTCCAGTGCTCTGAGGAACAGCTGGAGGTTCTGGCCCATCTCCTTGTGCTGCCTGGTGGCTTTGGCCCAATCAGTAACTGGGGGCCTGAGATCTTCACTGAAATTGGCACAATAGCAGGTAGAGAGGCTGGGCCACTGCTGGAACTAGCTGCCATAGTTTGGATTCCATACCATGGGTGGACTTACGGGTAGGACCATCCTGAACTTCTGAAATACAAGTCTGAAAAATGTTTAAGTAAGGGGATACAGTCACCATAGGGAAGGTCTGTGGTAGGACACTTTGGGAGCAGTTAGAGATCTACAGGTTTGAAGAGATAGTAAAAGGCCACTTTATGACATGCATCTTCCTTTCTTCAATAGCTGGGATCCCAGACCTGGCTCTTTCAGCTCTGCTGCAGGGACAGATCCAGGGCCTGACCCCTCTTGCCATTTCTGTAATCCCTGCTCCTAAATTCGCTGTAAGATTTGATGGACCGGGGTCTGGGGTGACCTCAGGACACCCTAGGGGCTACATGAACATGCTGATTCTTATCTCTACCACCAGGTGGTGTTCAGCCCCACCCAGCTATCCAGTCTCACCAGTGCTCAGGCTGCGGCGGTCACTCCTGAGCAAAGGGCCCTTCTGAGTCCTGAGCAGCGAGGAGCAGTCACATGGGCCCAACATGAGGGGAAAGAGACTCCTGAACGGCAGAGTGAGTTCCCAACAACTTGACCCTCCATCTCCTGACCCAAAATCCAAGCCCCACTGTGGTGCTGTCTGGCCTTTAGAACTGCCTCCTTCTCCCCACAAGGAGATCCCTGGAGTAAAGGGGTCGGTAGGCAGAGAACTAGTTTCGAAGTTTCAGTGGCTTCTGGGGAGCAAAATTGTGATGCTCCCTCCATTCCTTGTGTCATTATAGGTCGAAGCTCAGCTTGGGGTCCTCAGTACTGGTCACAGCCCTCCTGGGCCCTGGCACTGATCGGCTTCCTTGGACACCTGCTATGAGCCTGTCTCTACAGTTGAGGAAGATTGCTGGAGAGAGAAACTTTATTTTATAATAAATAAAGTGCATCCTAATTATTCTCAGAAGCTGATGAGGAATATGGGTAAATGCTAATGCTTTTCACCCACCTGAGAGCCAGCTTTTCTGGCATGCCATACCTAAAGTCTCCTTCCATCATTAAATCACCCCACTGCTTCTTTTCATCTCCTGGAGGCTGCTCCTTCCTCATCTCACCAATAGAAATACCACAGACAGCTGGAGCATAGCAAGGAGTCTCTACTAGAATGGAGGTAGGAGTGGGGGAAAGGTCCAGGGCAAGTAGAATTGGCCACCATGAAATGAGTTGGATACCTGGAGATCTTGAACCATCTGACTGAGATAGGAAGTTAATGTTTGTTGTGGATAAGAGGTTAAGGGACATTGATACCCTGGCCTCTTTCCTGGTACCATTCACAGTCAATCAAGTTGTTGATCTCTAATCCTAGAACCCTGATTCCCAAAATCTGGGTTTCTTCACTAACTGACTTTCCTGCTATAGAAAATCATTTCCAGTCACCTCCCCACCAACCTGAATTTCATTTTGAATTCTATTACATTTCTGAGGCGCTCTCACTGTCACAACTCCACCCCCATAGACTTACTCTCCTCACTCTGATCCCTTAGCATCTCATCTCTGACTTGGCCAGTTGATCCAAGTTAGAGAGTCAAGGAGGTGCTGCCTATGGCAGAAGAACCCACCCCACCATGCTTCTGGAGTCTTAAATTCTTCAGTATCTTTGGGAAGTGGCTATCCTAGAGAGGAGACAGGGATTAGAGGGAGAGCCTTCCTAGCTGCTCAGAGCTCTTTCCTTTGACTATAGTCACAATGAATGTGGCTGCTTTCAAAGTTCCCACCCCTTCTCCCTCTGCAGCCACACCCCCTTCCTCATTTATAGCCCTCTGTAACACCAGAGATCTTTTACTTTGTGCAGCAGGGGTAGTTTGACGTGCACTCCTGCCCAAAGTCCAGTGTTCAGGTTAGATAAACAAGCGAAGATGTATCCTAAATGTCAATTCCACATGGACTCCCAGCCATGCTCCTGGATCAGCTGCTCCACCAGAGTCCACAAAGATTCTATTAGTAAAAAATCAGGGATATGTGGCTTTAGCTAGACTCCCAGGAACTGTAATATGTCTAGAATCAGAAGTCTACATGTGAATGAATAATATTGTTCTTTTTATTTTGGTGAAGATAGTTTGTTACTGTCATCATGGATGCAAAGAAACTTGAGGGAGTGGTATATTAAGAATGATCTAGGGAAGCAAACAGAGGTGGTAAACAGAACTGAGAAAGAATTAATTATTCAATGTGTTCTGCATGCACTATCTCTGCTTTGCTAATGAGCACAAAGTTCCTTGCGGACAGAAAGTGAGGGTATAAGCTCTGAAACAGAAAGAGGCAAGAGAACCTTCTGTTAGCTGTAGAGGAACATATGGCAGAAAGCAGAGAAATGTGAAAACAGAGGAAAAACCAGATTCATAGGTATCTGTGTGAGCGAGCAAGAGGGGGCACAGGAGGGGCATTCTTGTTCCACTTAATCATCCTAACCATGCAGATGACTGTCAGAGTTGAAGAGACAGAGTGTCTGCCAGAGCAGCAGACACAAAGACTACTATCCAACATGAGCAAAGAGGACCCTGTTTACCTCTCAGAAAGAACCATGGCATGGAAGATTCTTACATGCTGAACATAGGGAAACAATTATATCAAGAATAATAACACTGTGAACACTTACTGAGACTTTCTGTGGACCAATGACTTTACCTGCATCATTTCATTTATTCCTCATGACAATGTAAAACATGGGAAATTTTATTATCCCAATTTTATAGATGAGGAAACTAAGACATAACATAAAAAGTACTTCCATACTCCCTCATGCTAAAACTGTTATCTATTAGTTGCCAAAATTTGTATGTTTTTGGTTAAAACCTAAAGCATCTCTTTTTTTGCAAACCCAAAACAGAAGTGTATATATAAGAATATACAGTAAGAATTGAGTTTACAGCCGTTTCTAATGTAGAACCAAATATAGTAGACCCAGTCTGCTTAGAATTGTGGATTCAGCTGAATTACTCATGGAGAGCTATACACTCTGGGAGTTGAGCTATTCTATCTTTCACTTTCCCCAGTCTCTCTCTCACTCTTAGCTTAAAGTCTTGACTTGATACTTCAGCAGAAATGACAGAATCCAGAGTCAAGGCTTATCTTGGTTGGCTCAGAACTGGGGGATACTAGAGGTGGTGGTGCACGCTGGAATCCCAGGACTTGTGAAGCTGAAGCAGGCGGATCAACGTGAGTTTGAGGCCAGCTTGGACCACAGGGTGAGTTCAAGGCCAGCCTGAGCTACACAGTGAGACCTGGTCTCAACTCCCTCCCACTAAAAGAAAGAACTAGAGGATTACTTCAGAAACATGAACATGCAGGACACCGATACAGGCTCAAACGTTTTTCTTATCTGTACCCTCCTATCCCATACCACATACCCTTGGCACTGGTTTGCTGCCTGTTATTCTTTCTTTGCATTATCTGACAATTGTTTTATTTACATCCTTAAATTCCTGACATTCTTTCTTTCTTCCTTTTCTTAGGGTGACCCTATGTCCTGGTTTTTCCAGGACAGTCCTAATTTATACCCATTTCCTGGATTAATTAACAGTGACCCTATTTACTATCAGAAATGTCTTGGATTGATTGATCAATGATAGTCACTCCACCAGAGGGGCTCTTTGGTTTGCCTTACTTCCTCCCTCCCCACTCCCCTAAAGACCTCTCTCTAACATCTTTGAGGCCCTGGCAGAATCTTTCAAATATTCTCTTCATGTTGCCACCCTTCTCCATGGAGATGACCTTTTATGATCCTCCTCATTCACCCAATCAAGGAACTCTTCTCACTGTTGTGCCTGAGGGTAGGAGGTAAAGGGATCAAGAGGCAAGACAGGAATTGGTAGAGATCGAGGAAAAAAGGGTTTTTGTGGGCATAGAGAATAAAAGAGAGAAGGAGCAGCCACATACTGAGTGCCTGGCCAGTCCTGATCCATTCTTGCTGCAGTCATTGATGGGGACATGGGCTTGCAAACAGACAGTGGTTCTGGGAGAGCAAAGGGGGCTAAGAATCCTCCCGGTAGCTGCTGGGCCTCTCAAATGATCAAGGCATAGGGACTGGAGCTACAGAGTCGTGTACACAATAACTCAAATCAGAAGCGGAATACTTGGCTCACCTTATGGCATCCAGGTCAGTGGTGTGCTTTAACATCTGGGAGTCATAGCCACTGTGTTGCTCCTGGATCACAGGGTTGAACAGGTCAGTAAATATCTGAAGGGGACTGAAGAGGGAGAGGTGGTTACAGAGAGAAAATCCTCCTAATAATCAGTTATGAATCAATTTTACTGGGTCAGAAACTTGAGTATGGATGGTTCAATTGTCTTGAGGGAAACTGAAGAGATTTTTAGGGGGAACGAGCTGAAATAACAGTACTGGGAAGATGACTTGAGTCTCCAGGAGCACCTATAGAAGATGTACCCAATAAATTCTGGAAATAGTTTGCTATTTGTCCTACAGATTCAAATGAGTTTTTGGAGCTAAGTGTTCCCATTTTTACATCATAGTAACAAAATAACTAAACAGGACTTAATACATTGGGTAATCTCGTTTACAAATGGTAAACATGATTAGTATCTGTTTCCCCAGTAGTTAGAACTTTAGTATTCTTTTCATTGTCCATTATCATAGTATGCTATAAATTAAGTCCTTGCCCTCTGTCAAATCTTACTGTCTTCTGTCTTGTGAGGACAGCTATCAAAACTGAAACAAAATAATGCACTACTATCATGGGCAATTCAAGCTATATTATGGAATGATTGCAAAGTAACTTCTAGCATTTATAAAAGAAAGGAATTTCCAACATTTAGGACAAGTACTTAGCAGTAATATACCTTTGCAAGACCACAATAAAATTTCTTGCCTTAATATATATTTAAGCTGTTAAGGTTACAATTTGTTGAATAGGCTGTGTAAACCAAAACATGACTGTGCTTAATAACTGAGGTAAACAAAGTGAAAAGAAGCAAGAAATCCAGGACAAGGTATAAAGAAGTGCTTACATGTTTTCTTGTATAAACTTTTTGATTTCCCATTTGTCATTTTTTGTTCCATATGTGCCACAGTTTTGTCCTCAAACTTGCTAGCAAGGTGTGAAGGATGAAATAAGGTGATACCCCCCCTTTTTTAAACAAAAAGTCTTAGTAATAGAGAATAGAGGAGCTACCTTCCATCTTTTATTGAAAGCTCAGATTATCTACTTTTGCAGCCACTTTTGCAATCACTAAGCACAAAATGATTCTTCTGTGACTAGAATTGGCAACATAACCTTCTCGTCAATACTAAAATGGCAAACCATCTTCCTCTCACGTGTAATAATTGGGTATAAAGGTTTAATAAACTTTGTTGGGCTAGGCATCAGTTTAACTCTCTAAAAATCAAAATCAAATGCTTTCTACATTCTTGTAACATGACTCTCTATGGCCAGAAATCCAGTTTGCAGAGTGGAACAGATCCTGGAAGGCATTGATTTAATGAAGCAACTTTTTTTTTTGGGGGGAACTGGAAATCGAACTCAGGACCTTGTGCTTGCCAGGCAGGTGCTTATGACACTAAGCTATATCCCTGGCCCGGCACTGATTTAATAAAACAAGTATACTAATAGTTTATTAGAGCCTTTTTCTTCTCAACTGAGTTTCAATGTAGCATTACAATGACATAAAAGATGGCCAGCCAATTTACTTGACCATGAGAACTAATTAAAAAAAGGAAAACTAGACTACTTTCCCCACCAGAATCCTCTGCTCCTCTGCCCAGAAGTCCTAATGGCCCCACAGGTGCACAGTCTATGCAGTGGGTGTAATGAATTCTTCCTTAGGAGTGACAGCTAGCACCCGGTGTAATCATCTCCTTAGAAGCCA